TATTTGGGGGATGACTATCTCAATACCCTCACTTGCTGGGCCTTTCCTGCCATGTTGCATTTCCTGATAGCAGAGAGAGTCTGACCTGACAATGCTCATTAGTCCAGTGGTTCTTAACATCTTTTTGGTCTCAGTCTCCTTCAAGAATAAGATTAAAATACGGACCTTGTTTGTCTGAAAAATGCACATATGAGTGCTCACAGAAAATTTCATACATGCTTTGAGAGATTCCAGGACCTTCTGAAGTCCATGCATGGCTCACAATTGAAAACTCATGCACAGGAAGACATCTAAGAGTCTTTTTACTTCCAATACTCTGTGAGTCAGCATGTTTGGCCCAAGGCAAAATTGTATGGTGGATACTTCCCCACACCCTTCCCATTCGTCTTCAGCATTCCTTTCCTGTTAATTGTCCTGAAACTGCCAGGGTCTCTACTGAGAGTAGATTTACCTGATAAACCTACACTTAGTAAGGAATTTCAGGCTATACACATTACCCTTCTCAACAGAGTTTACTTTTGAAAAAAGGACACAGAAGGGGAAGAACCAAAAAGAACACACCTGAAATACTGACTTTTCAGACCTGGTGGCAGGTATGTGAATGGGCTTTTGGGGGATATAACACTTGTATTGAGTACTGTACTGTGTGGGATAAGTGACCTTCTAGTCTGTCTATGGATAAGGGAGTTTGTCTCTCTGTAGGGCTTTGTCTACGTGTGTATATCTGAATACAGGCTGTATAAAGTGACCTTTGTGGGCTCCAGTTGAATCCCCTATCATCAAGGATCTAATACAGTAGATAGCCTCACTAACTACTTATTGATAATTATAAAGACTTAAAATCAATAGCAATAAAATCACTCCTGCCTCAGGTTCTGGTCCAAGCATATAGATCCAAATAGCACCACTTTGCTCTTTTCTCTTGAGTGCTATTTCTGATTGGGAAATCCAGGGTTCATTTGCACTTACACTGCGACTTTTAGTATAATGTTCTCTGGACATTTTTGAAATAACAAATTAGGCTCCCTTCAGGCCCCAAATCTGTCCCAATACTGATAACACAAATATTTCTTATTTTGGACACTGTGCTCTCGACCATCTATCATTTCTTTTAGTTTCTAGATAAAGAATAAAAATTCAATGAACAAATTAAATTTCATTACATTGGTTTTGGAAATGAACACAGTCTTGAGTAAACTGCCTCTTTGCATTTGGCCACTGAGCTATTTATCTGGGATAGAAACAACTTTCCACCAATTCTCCTTCAATTTTTCCTGGATTCAGTAAATTTCTGTAAAGTGAATTTTGTTTTCCCACCTTCTTCCATGATCAAGTCAGAGACTCTCTCCCAAGGAAAAACAAGACATACAGGTATCAAATATAACTGAAAATTTTGGCAAAAAAGGAAGGAGTTGAGCAAGCAATCTACTCTGGGACTGCTTGAAGTTTTGGTACTGAGAGATATTTAGAGATATTTGCAGTCCATTTAGGACTATGTGGGAGTTCCCTAAATATGGAATCTCTCTTATGTCATTACCTCATAATTTCAATGCTGTGAGAATTTTTCTCTTGGCCCTGTGTATCTCCTGGATCTACATTTAAAAGTTTTTCTTTTATTGTCTGTCTATTTATGATTAATAGAATTTAGTTGCAATATTATACTTTATCAATAGTTAGCACTTTAGCCTGACAATTGGCAATGATATTTTCTGTCTTGAGATCTTAATTTCAATACTGCAAATCAATTCTCAACATTTCTTGACTATCAAAGCTGTGTATCTTGGGAAAGCTACTTAACATCTCTGAGATTGTATTTTCAACTGGAAAATCGGGACAGATAGCACCTAAACATAGGGTTATTTTGATTATAAGTAAATAAGACAATGATGTAAAACTTGTAGCACAGTACCTGGCACATTGCCAACTCTCAGGCCATAAAATACCCTCCCTTTCCACAAAAGAAAGTATTTTACTTAAACTAGGAATAAGTATAATTAGTACTTGAACTGGTAACTCCCCAAAGAAAATAATTTAAATTTTTTAAAATGTATTTTAATTTGTTAATTGCAGCACTCTGATATTTTATTGACGATGGTGCATTAATTCTGTTCAGTTACATAACAAAGCATAAAGCACTTTGCAGAATATTGAGTGCTAAACAAATGCTAGCCATAATTGAATCACAACCAATGAAAGTTTAAACTATAAAAACTTCTTGGAAAGAGAGAAATTCTGGTATTTAAAATTGCAGTTCTGATGGTAGGAATATGTTTAGTAAACCTATATTAATGATAATCTATATTGTATCATGTAATATTAATGTACAACACAACAAAGAAGCTAACTTGAAACTTAGTAATTTTAGAATCATGAAGTAAACATTAGATGATAATGAGATATTTATTAAAAAGAAAATTCTCTCCTCAAACCAATAATAAAAGCTCAAACATTTCCTTTATTTCCACTTTAATATATTTTACAATTCAGAATTACAATATTGAGAAAGGATAAAGCAATTGTCTTGATCTGTATCCTTAATTAGAGTGGGATTGACCATTTTCCTTTTTAAGTAGATCTAAGTGAGTCAAAATGTCCACCCTTTTATGTATAAAGGCAGAGCCATAGAACTTAGCTTTTGAGTCTGTTTGATATTTGACCTTTCCTCTGGAACTAAACAAGACAAAGCCTTGCCACAGATGACATAACTGCAAATAAATCACCCATTTCATAGATGTCAGGAGACATTGGCCAGATGGAAATGACTTTTGTGGGGACATTGTGTTAAAAGTCAAGAAACCTGGGTTTAGGTCCCAGTTTTATGATTAAGTCACTGTGAGACATGAACAGGGTTCCTTCTCTCTTACCTTTTTCATCTTTAAAATGAGAGCTTAAACTAAATTATCATTCATCCCATTGAGCTCTGATATGCTATTATTATTTGCCCAATTTGGAATGGAATTTAACAATGTTCCTATAGGAGTATTCTTTTGATTCTAATCAGGCTAAAGTTCCTTAACCTAAATAGGAAAAGTAAGTGCAGCTAGCTCAGGAAATTTCATCACTAGGTGTTTTATTTCAAAACACATGAAGATTGGCTCCTATGAGTTCTATCTGAAACTCAAGGAGCAGGCTGAAAACTCAAGGAGACTGATATGCCTGCATCCAAAGCTTATTTGGTGGAAGCAAACAGGAGGAAAATGAGGAAACCAGAAGGTGAGCCTGTACAAAGCAGCACAATTTATGAGTTATTAGAAATCTGAATAATACCTTTCTGCTTTTTACTTATTGAAATCTTGCCATTCTTAGTATGCTCAGCCCAAACTCTCTTTCTCCTGGAAAATTTGCCCGACTTCCATCTTGAAATTCCATTTCTTACCCTAGCCCTCTGGGATCTCTGACTTCCTCTGTGAAATCTAACAACACTACATATTACATTCTTAGGCCCTCTTCACATACGTGTTGACTTATATTTGAGGCAACTGCATAATGTCTTATCTACTTAACTAGATTCTAAAAACCTGCTAGGAGGTGGCTCCCTTTCCTTTACCATCAGCCCTCTCCTACTCTCACTCCCTCATTCTCTCCTCCCCAGCTGTATTTGATCCCCTGGTCTTCATTTAGCAGTTACTCAACAGACGTTTGCTGAACAGAGCTAAGGCTGTGTTAGGGGAGAGAGAGCATCACAATAAACTCTAGGCACACCAAAAGGACGTACGAAAAGTTTCTTTAAATAAACAAACAAAGCATTACCTTTATATTCCGCCAGACCTTGGACTACAGAATAAAAAGACAAAGCAGTGGCAATGTATTTGGTTTGTTGTCAACATACCTGACCTAATGCAAATTTAGATTAATTTACCCTTTTTCCTTTTATATTTTCCCCCATTTGCCTAGTATTAAATGATTAAAGATTGCTTTTGGCAGTTCAGTTTTCCCGTCCTGGGATCTCTTCAGTTTCAATTTATATCCTGCTCCCACCATCTACTCCCATCTTTCCAATTCTAATAAACTCATTCACACCAAGGTTTTTAAGCAAGGTATTTTAGCAGCATCAGGACATGAAAATCAAGACTTCAGGAAGAAGGGATTGCTTACCTCCAAAGGACTGGTGTTTCAGGCATTAGTGAAGGAAGTATTTTGAGGCAGAGAGTCCTACAGGTGCTCCTTATAAAATACCACGCAGGTATATTCTGGCATTAGACCAGACCTGAACTAACATACTTCTTTCTCGCATGGCCTATGTGAAAAATTCCCTTGCTCTGATCCAGAAATACTACTAAAGTCTTGGGGATTGCCTTTAGCTGCCTCTCATTCATCTTCCAGCAGTGCTGGTAGTGGTAGTGGTGGTGGGGTGTCAGGTGTCTAATACAGTGTGGCACTGGGCTCTGGGGTTCTCAGGCTCCTTGGAACACCATCTTCAAGAAGCTGTGGTGATGGGTCTGGGCTACAGGAAACCAGCCTCTTTTCACCCGATCCTCCCTAACCACTGAGAGGAAATGGGGGTTTACCTGCACTTCCTGGTCACAGGGACTCTGAAGGGTAGGGGGAGTGGGTGGACAGGAAGTGGGAGGTGAGTGAAGTATCTCCAAATTCCTCTTAAAGAGTAGGGTAGTATTTATTTCAATGCCAGGAGTTCGGAGGTTTGTACATCCAAGAATACCCTAGGCAGAGGTTATCCCCATCATCAGCTACTTAAGGCACATCCTTAGGAAGTGTGCACTTTGGTACCTGAACAAAACAACTGTGAGGGGCTGTGAGAAAGGATCACAGTGAAGACTGCAGCGGTCCACTATCTATGGGAGGGGCCAGAGGGCAACTAGCTGCAGCAAAGTGTTCCATAAACAAATAGGCTGTGTATTATCACAAACTCAAAGCTGAGTGCAACCACAGGATTGGAAGACAATGCACTGTGGCCCCATAAATAGAAACGGGAGTTTCTTTGCTAAATGTGAAGCTTTGCAGGCTCTATGTACAGCTCATAGCATAGCCCTGCATCATTAATCAGAGAGAGAGAGAGAGAGCAAGCTAGCTCAAGCTGCCCCCTGGAAAACGGAAATGTTCAATGTGCACAGACTGGCTTGCATATTTCACTCTGACATTTCACTACCATGTTTTCCAACATGGTAGTGGTTAGGTAATGATGAGAATTTTATTTCTTCTCTTTTTCCTTTTCCTTTCTTTATTTTTCTTTTGGCTTTCTTTTGTTTTGTTTTCTTTTTACTCTTTCCTCCCTCCCTCCTTTGTGTATTTCTTTCTTTCTCTCTCCTTTCCTTTTCACTTTCTTTCCTTTTTTTGTTTTTTGGTAGTGAAGGGGAATTGGATTGGTCGTTCTCAGAACAAGGAGCCGGAATTGACGCACAGAGCAGTAGTGTCCTTGTTGGAGTGGCTGTGGCATGAATTCCTTGAAGATCTCTGGAGAAAACAGAAAGAAACTGAAACGGTAGGCTCCAGTTTTTTAATGCTTAATTAGCTCTCATTTGTGCCTTTCACCTTTGATATTTAGAATTGGCCTCTTCACACCAGGTCTGGGTAACCTGTCGGATCTAAGGGTGGTATGGATATAATGAACCCGGACCATCCTGGTATGTCATTTCCTTGGTATTTGCACAAGCAAAAATAATTATACGGTTGGCTGCCTGAGGTAGGAGGGGGGTGGTAACTTTAAACTTGGAAAAATGTAAGTTTGACATGGAGAGGTTTTTCATGTGTTTCACTCAATTGATATTGAATAAAATAGCCCTGTGAACATTTGTAATTTAACCAACTCTGTATTAAGTAGAGTTACTTGTATGAATTTGCAGGATGGTTTTTATCTTTTCTTTGCTATAACTCTTTGGAGATGATATTTTTATCTGCTGAATCATTAAAATGGTTAAATTTGTGTTATTTTCAAAATGAGCTACAAACAAATAAGAGAACTGTAATACCTGAGGACCTTTACTGACATGAATGCATGCTCCTATCAGCTTGTATCAGTTACACATTTTCACTGTAAAAGTGAATCGTAATCAATGCTAGCTGTAGAGATTCTGCTTTCAGAGAAAGTACTCCAGAAAAAAAAAAAATGTTTATAATGAGAGAGGGGAAATAAGAAAGACAATAGGCACAGTTGCTCTGTTTTTCAGAGAAGCTGTATCTATCAGAATAAATAATCAGTACATTAAAAAATCAACAATGGATAAAATGATTTTGGATTAAATTTGAATTTTACGTATACATAATTGACTTGTTTTGATAAAATGTGCGTGAAGTTGTTTCCTGGCTTGCATGTTGTCTCTCTTTTGTGCTCAAAGAAAAAATATTGAGGAAGGTGCCTCCTAACTTTAAACCAAAGATGGGGCTATCAATGGCATGAAACTGCTAGGAGCTGCATTCAGAGATTAAAAGAAAGGAAAGGATGTATTTCCATGGTGCAACATGATCCAGGATTAAGTCTCAAATGAGTTTCCTGCTCCTTTCTCTGCTGTCAACAGTGGTATGCACGGACTCCATTTTATAGTGTTCTGATCATTCCAGGGAAGAAAAACATTTTAATTTTACACAGTTAGCAGAGCTACATTTGCTAGAGAGCTTTGGATCATTCAATAAAGAGTATTTCTTTCCTGCAGCTGCTGTAAATCTCAGGTATGGTGGCAAAGGTATCAATTTTATAGATGGGATTCAATATTTTAGCCTAGGGAAAGATTCTACCAGCCACACTAACAAATATTTGAATCACATAAAAACCATCCTCCAAGAAATTTGTATCGGAGGGGGAGTAATTTCTTTTAATTTTTAAAATTCAATTAAATTTTTTAATTTGCACTTGTGAACACATGTACTGTTCTACCTTGCTATAATTTGCAGTAATATTTCTGTAAGACAGGAACCATATAGTGTATCTATTTCTGTTGGGGCCAGTGTAATATGGTACTAAATATTGTAAAGGTGAATAAACACAAAATGGGGCATTGACTCCTCCATAAAGCTCTCTGAATTTTCATCTAGAGACCCTTAGGAATAGATGAATTCAATTTTCCCCCTTTGCACTAGGTAACAAAATGAAAAGGAGAAAGAGGCATGCTTTCTGCCTTCCTCTCATAGACACTTTTTGCACGAGTCAGATGCCCGGAATCAGAAAAGGAAGTTAACTCCTTCTTCTGACTCCCCCCCCTGCCCCCCCGCCTAATCTTGAGAGGAGGGACCACAGATAGTCCCATTTCCCTTGCTTATTAAAGTGACCTTCCAAAAGTTTTCCTCTCTTGCCAAAAGTTTCAAGAATCAGTCTCCAAACCCCTAGTCAAAAAATAAGAATTTATCAGAAACAGATTCAAATCCTGTCACTCACAGGAGTGATGGCAAGCATCTCAGACTCTCTTATGCTTTGAGAAGTGACGTAGATTGACAGTTTGCATTTTACAGTTAGAAAACCTGAGGCTCAGAGAGTTGAAGTGACTGGGCCAAGTACCTCTGTGAGTCTGTGACAGAGAAAAGGCTAGAACCTACATCTCTTGATGCCTCGTCCAGTGCTAATTTCACTTCTCCTTGCTGCTTAACAAGGCTTGAGGATTAAGAGACACATGCATTATTCATTGGGAAATGTTAAAAGATGTCATTTTGAAATCACTCAAGAACCTCTCAATACCAGTGGCACACTTCAGGCTTCTCCCAAGGGCCCTAATAATGTAGCAAGCCTTGATTTGCTGGGCTCTACCACTGTTTCCCTGCGAGATTAGGAAAGAATTATTCCTACTGTGCCCACAGAAAAAAATCTCAAATTGCAAATCAATACACACTAAGTGCTGTAATACAACACTAACACAGACCTGAGCATGTACTGGATGTTTATGTGCTATACCAAGTACCAGAGCAAGAATTTCGCTAAGCTCTAAGACAAGAGAGAGTATTCGGGAGGTCCTGAGATCTAGGAGATTCCAAATTTGAGAAGGGAGTCAAGATTACAGGATATATGCCTGGCAAAAACAGGCATATGGGGCTTAGGATAAAGTGTGAGGGAACTAAATATTATAATAATTGGTGGTATGTGAATCCTGAAGAGGATGCAGTAGTTAGTGGCTTCACTATTACTAATTTTTATTGCATAACAGAGTGATATCTAGGATTTGAAAATTAAGGTGGCATCTTTTGGTATAGTCATTGGAAGACAGTTTGGAGGCGAGAGTGTGCTTCAGAGTCATCACTTTCATTTGCAGTAACGACTGCATTAGCATCAGCCAGTAATCAAAATGCAGACAGAGTTCTTGAGAAACAATCAGAAGTACAGGATATTAAACAAAATCAAGTTTGTATAGACTCTGGAGACTTGGGTATGGGCCAGGAACTTCACTAACTCTAATTACCTAGTGAGGAAACCAAAGTTTAAAGTATTGGCCATGATCAGTATGTGGGTCACATCGAAGCATGACTTGTGCCCAGAGCATAAGCCAAGGCTGCCCATTTAGGTTCAGTTGTATCTGGGGCAGCATAATTACTCTCTCACTAGGGCTTACAATATATGCAAATATCTGCCACCAAGTCAAAAGCCTCTCAACTAGTTCCTTGCTTCTTGTCAATATATTTGTTTCTTCCAAAAGCTTTTGCTCAATGTCACACTCTATTGTTTTCACTCTTAATTTCATTGATATGGCAGACAATGGCAAGGTTTTTCCACATTGTCAGCAACAGAAGAAAGGCTTTAATACTGTTGTAATTATACTTACTTAGCTATTTTCAGCTTTACTTGGTAGATTAGATTCAGGTATTTCTTGTAAGCTAATAAAATGTTACTAGATATTTCTTGTAAGTAATGACATTTTTACGTGATAAAATAATTCTTATAAGTTATTTATAGGGTGACAGTAATAATAATGATTTACTGTTTGGAGTATTTAATCTTTTTAGGTGTTATAAGGTGACCTATGAGTTGGTTCTTTAAAACTAAACGTTTGTTATCCTAGGTGGCTACTCTATTTTAAAGTGTCAGACCAAACGGAGTGCTGGAGAATGAATTACGTGTAGGGGATAGACTTATTTATTATTCATCAGATGTATTTTTTTTAAAAAGCCATTCAATTCCAAAATTGCAAAAGGGAAATATTTTCCTGATGTTTGTGATTAATGTCGCATCAATGGATATAATAAAGTCACCCAGATTACAGAGGCAAATAAAGTAGTAAGACAGTGGCTCCAAATTACAGAAATAATTTCTGTTCTCAATTGACTATAAAAGTTGAAGAGCTATTTCTCTTCTTCCAGGAAAATTGAAGTTGTTGAGACTAATGCACATTTGGCCACTGCCATATATTTTGCATATTAAAGAATCAAGGATATGTGCTAAACATATTTGTAAGGAGTCTAAAAGAAAAGACTGGTCTTATCTTTAAATGTAATAATATGACAAAGTGGGATAAGGTTTACTAAAAACCTATCAGAGGTGCTCTAAGATGTGAAGTTATGTTTACACATGCTTCTCACAGTGGAAAGTTAAATGATTATCCAAATAATTCAGTTAATGTAGATAGAGGAAGAGCATAGCCCAGATCCAATAAACAAACTTTATTTCAGTAAGGCACAGTGTTGTTCTCTTACTGTTTTTTCTAATTTACTTGCATAGTTTAAACTTGTTAAGTGTAGAAATAATTTGGAAAATTCTATTTGTTTTTCTTTTTTGCTTGGGTGGTGGGGACCTGCAGAGGAAATTTTTAAATCTGAATTTTCCTGGCCCTTGTTAATTTTATGCCAAAGATTTTACTCATTTAATATTCTAAAGACATATTTCTTTGCTTTTCTCCCTACATTCCCATGATAAAAATAGCATCCTGCTTCTATCTTCTTGGGTACACTTTTGATTGAGATCTGATTTTTTTTATTGTTGTTGTTTAATGTTTTTTCCCCTTCGTCCTAACATTTTTTAAATTGGAAGGTACGAGCAGAGTTCTCTTTTTTCTAAGGATGCCAGAGTTAAAACTAGGCAGTACTGATTTTTAATACTTAATAAAACTACTTCAATATAAAGAAAAGTTCAGTCACTTGACCTAGCCCAGCATTAATCTCTCTGAGGAAGAACCACTGACAATAGAAATATCTAGTTTGTTGTTAAAAGCAGGCACAGTCCATATCAAGGCATCTGGTACACTATGTAATGCCTTTCCCTCTGAACGTCTATGACCTTCAAAAGCTTCTCAGGACTAAAAAGAGAAAAATTTGTGATTAATTTTATGTCGATGGATGTAATAAAGCCATCCTGATGATAATCTAGCTTGCTGAAGCAGAGTATAAATATGACAGACTGTGAAGTGGCTAGTGTAGATAACCAATCCAAATTAATTAGGGGAAGTAGACTTGGGGCCCAAGTTATCCAGAGTGGGCGATCATCCATCGGATTTTGGGATACCCAGTTGTGCTCTGGCCACTTGCTGAAAGTGGCTTTTTGGTCATGGAGAATAGAGTAAACTTCCCTTG